AATACCGCCTCGTCAAAAAGCCCCTGGGTAGTTGCCAATGAAATGTTTTCCAAATTTAGAATCGAATGTGTTCAAAAAGAGTAGAGATTGAAACTTAATTTCCTGAGAATACAACAGTTAAATTTCGGTTTAGATATTTCGTCGTCGATTTACCGTCGAGCAATCTGCGGCGGATTCTATTACGAAACCTTTGTTACGCGACCAACTCTGTGATACAAAAAAAATATATTTTTGGATTTAAGATACTTCTTCCTTGAAGTCCGTCAGGCAATTCGCAATTCGAAAAGGTTTTACGCGGACAATTACAGTGCTCTAAAAGTCCTTTCTTATCTCGGTTTGCAATAAAATTTAAATGATAAACACTAGTCGACTCTCAGGTTAGCAAACTAAATTCTAATAGTTTTGAGTAGGATTAAAAGCACCTACCTCAAAATTATTTTCAGTGGAAAAAACTAAGGTCTACTTTCCACAAACTTTGTACACTAAAAGGAACTTGCAGCGGATACAGCGGGAACGGATGAATGCAATCGGAACTAGCAGGAATAAAAGAGAGCCCCCCTTTTGTGTGGTTCGAATTCTTATACTTTTTCCCTCGAAATAGCTCGATATTTGGTCCTCGGACCTCGATGGTTTCAATCTTTACTTACAAAAAAAGTCCTCCAGATAGAAGAGAAATTTGCGACATAATTTACAAGAACTTGAGGGTTTAAAACAGGTTTAGAATTTCGGTAAAAAATAATAATTTTAAACTACGAGAGGTCTTGCAAATGTTTAAAATTGGAAACTTTGGAGAAATAACAATAACAGGGATTCTCGCAAATATTCCCAAGCGAAAATTAACTTTTAATAAATAGTTTATAAATTAAATTAAGACAACATTAATGACAACAAATAAATGTAAATCAAATCATATTAAAATAAATAGAAACTTTTTAGAAGTACGGTAATTTTATTACGTTTGACATTTTCAAAAATTTAATGGTAGATGTAGCAACCGCAGTATCTCTGACAATTCATTATTTCCTTATTTACCTGATAATAATTTAAATGTAAAGCTATACATTTTCAGCCTTGTGTTTAACACATTACTAAGATTGACTAAATAAGAGCAGCGTTGGTTTGGGTTTTAAATATTTTATTCATTGTTAAAAAAATTTACAGAACAATACATCAACATATAATAAGAACACACTGTACGCAGTACAGATGTGTGACCCTAAAAGTAAACCCTTAAGGTCTAAGGCAATCCCTTCGCCTGTTACATGTCGTATACTTTATGTCTTATGATTATGCCAAATATAGCCGCCCTTAATCCTTACCCTTGGGGTATTATTAAGGGATTATGTAGGATTGTAATCGGGAATTGTAGGTATTTGTGAGTATGTCGTGTTTTAATTTCGTATTGTCCCCTGAAAAAGCTAGAAAAAACAGGGTTGTCGTTTGTGGTAAGTGGTCCTGTATTTGTCTATGTTTTGTTGTCATAATTCACTGAGAGGGTGGGCTATAAACCGCGCGGGAGATTTTCATGGGTCCTGTTATTGTCGTCTATACATGCTTAGATTTTTATGAACACAGCCGTGTTTTCTACGCACGCCGTCCCCCTGGTGAATTTGAGTGATACTCTCCCTCAGTTCCTCAGGGAGGCATCGCGCGTAGAAGTTTTCAGCAGTTTGTATTATGAAGTCTTTAATCATAAACATATTTGTCGTCTCGTGTATGTCTCGTATTCTAGCATAGTGGTCGTAGCTCAATGCTAGCCTGAGACATCTGTTTTGTGCCCTTTGTAGTGGGAAAACTTATGAATTTGGCATTGAGCAGTATACTAGACAACCATATGTTAGTATAGGCCTAAATATAGTTTTAAAGAGTAGAATTTTGTTCGGCAGGGTTAGCTTGCTCCGTCTATTCATTAAAGGGTACGAAGACCTTAGAATACCAGAATTTTTCGCCACCCTGTCTTTTATGTGGGCCTAGAACAATGTCTGGTCTAGCAGAAAACCGAGATATTTTAGCGGTGTTTTGATCTCTATTGGCTGATTCTGAATCTGAAGGGGTGCGTCTATGCCCTGGACACGCCTTTTTGACAGTAAGATAGATTCTGTTTTGGATGAGTTTATTTTCATTTTGTTTTCTGCTAGATAATTCATTAATCTTCCATTAATATGATCGTCTAGCCTGCTGCTCGCTGTTTGCGCCAATTTGTCGCTGGTAAAAATGCAGATGTCGTCTGCGTACTGCGCCGTTTGTATCCCATTACGACTCATTGGTAAATCATGAGTCATGATGGTGTACAAATGCGGCGATAGTACTAAGCTCTGAGGTACTCCCGCCATTGCTAGGAATGGTCATGTTATTGTTGAATTTACTTTTATGTTGAATTTTCTGTCCGTAAGATATGACAAAATTGTTTGTGTCCAGGAAAGTCATTTATAAGCATTTTGTAGATTAACCCTCGGGTCCAGACGATGTCAAAAGGTTTTTTATTATATGCCTGTTTGGCATGATGGACAATTCTCAGGACCTAGGCCACAGTGCTGTGCCCCTTTCTAAAACCGCACTGTTCCCTCGGGATAATATGTATTCGTTGTTCGATTGTCTTAAGTCTACGTAGTATAATTGTGTCGGTTATTTTAGCAAGTGTGTTTAGTAATGAACTATTATTCCTCGGTTTTCCCCACTGATCTGTATTATTTTACTGGATAGGATATAGGCTATATTTAACATACTAAAAATCCGTTTCACCAAGGAAACCGGAAGTGCATCACTGCTGGCCGATTTGGGCAAATTATGGTGGGATCACAGAACTGAATTTTGGGATAATTTGACATACCTAACCTATACTTTGATTAGTTTTTCTTCTTATTCTTCTTCTATTCCTTTTGCAGGGAATGTTCTTCGGGACAATTCACCCATAATTTGATTTTTTTATGAAAGAAAATATATAAATGGAAACGTGAAGCATATTGTGTCTTCACGAATGGACGTTTATTGTTTATATCATGGTAATGCTATCCGATACTACCTATATAAATAAAAAAAACATATCGTCGTAACTTGTTGACACAATTAAATGACAAATGGAAATGTAGGTTATGTTAAATAACATCCGGTCCGTCATATTATTTGCCCAAATCGGCCAATTTTTTGGAACGTTTTTAGGGGGCTATATCCTATTCAGTAAAATAATACAGATCAGTGGTTTTCCCGCTTTGAGAATTGGGATAATATTTGCCATCTTCAGACTACTAGGGTAGTGCTGTAGTCTAAAAATGGCATTTATTGTAGTAGTATGTGGTAGATCTGCACGATACCTTTTCTGCTAAGGTTTTTAAGCAGTATGTTAATAATATTATCTGGTCCCGGAGCTTTTTTCTTTTTGAGATATCTAATTACCTCACCAACGTCTCTAGGAGTGGTTAGACAAGAATAGGGCACTAAATGTGGTTCTAGCTGTTCGAAAGCGGTGACAATGTTTTCGATGTATTGTTGTTGTTGTTGATTGTTCGGTTGGTTGTTAACAAATTCACCTAGGGCTTGACCTTTGTCTTTGTCAGTCTCTAATGTGTCTTGTCCTCGTTTCAGTGTGAGGAGCCCCTTTACCACTCTTTACAAGGAGTTGCCTTCCGGCTTTAACTACGACAGGGTATCTTGCCATTTATTATTACGGTGTTCTATAATCAGTTGATTTATATTTTGTGCGAGATTTTGCATCATAACCCTGTCATCGTTTGACCGGTGTGTCTGCCACCTTTTTCGAAGTCTGTTTTTGTTGTTTATTAGTTCTATGATTTCGGGTGGCAGGGTGTCGTAGTGTGTGTTTTTAAAGTAGTTGTCTCGTTTCTAGCTTTTTGTATGTTGTGAATGAGTTGTTTAGTTTCTTTTTCTAGGATTTCAACTATGTGTATATTATTATTGATTGTTATGTAAAAGTCTAGTTTGTCTCTGTATTGTCTCCAGTTAGTTGATTTGTAATCATAGTATTGTATTTTTAGTCTTTGTATTTTGTTCGTAGTCCATATTTGCATGTACACTGGATCATGATCTGAGTTGAGGGAGGTGATAGTTCTCATATAACGGATATCGGGGATATTTTTCGCGATGGCTATATCCAGTGTACTGGGACTGTATCTGGGGTTAGTCGGGAAGTAAGTCTGTTCTTCAGTGTAGTGGATAATAAGGTCATTGTCCTCAGCGAAGTTTGTCAAAACTCTACCGCTTGCGTTGTAGTATGCAGAATGGGAGTCCCATTCCTGGTGTTTAGCATTAAGATCTCCTGCAAAAAAAACCTGTTTCCTTTTGACATTAACCTGAGCAGATCTATACCTGAAAGTGTGAATAAGGGAGGGTTGTAAGCCCCTATAATTATTGTATTACATACCTCTATTATGATGTACTCAAATCTTTCTGAAATATTAATTTAAATTGAAATTATCTTTTAATAATGATAGCTACCCCCCAGATGCATTTTTGAGGTCAAGTATATTTCTGTCTTCTCTGATGATGTTGTAGTTAAATATTTTTATTTTGTCAGTGTGTGTTAAAAAAGTTTCTGTAAGTATGATAATGTCTAAATTATGCTTATGAATGAAATTGCTGACAATCCCGATCTTACTCAGCAGCCCTGCTCATTGAAAAAACAAATTTTGAGTTTGTCTCTATTTGTCTCGTTGAATTTAGTTTCTAATGTTGTAGGAATCAAGGTTTGTCATAAAAATGTTAAATGTCATGAAGTATTGATGAGTGGAAGTGCATTTTAGGAGGGAGGAATTAAGGTTTCGGACGGCTTGGGTAAGGGCGGCTATATTTATCATGGAGTTAAGCTCCTCAAATTCCATGTTAAGGGCAAAGAGATCATCCATTTCTCCTTTATGGGTGGGTTTAGCGTTGTTATTTGTGTTTGGGTTGCTTTTTAGGGGTTGTTTCTGTAAATGAGAATAACTGGAAGTGGGTAGGGGTGGGAAATCGCGTAATTCTTGCGTCGTAGGGTTCTTGTTCTTATCTCAGGCTACTCTGGTGGGTGGAGGAGCAGAGATATATTTTTTCTGGGCTGGTTTTTGCACCGTTCTTCGTTCTTCCAATTTCGAGGCTCTTTCAAGGTATGCCTCGCATTTAGTATAGTTGGCTGGGTGGTTTCCGTGGCAGTTAGCACATGTAGCGGGTGTTTCCCGGGTTTTGCTACAGGTGTTGGTCAGGTGGTCCCCTGCGCACTTCAGGCACCTAGGAGGGCGTCCACAGTTAGCTGTAACGAGACCCCAGGCTTGGGACCTGTGGCATTGTATTATGGGTTTTACGGTTTTTCTCATTTCCCAGGTGACACGAGTATTTTCTTTCACCCTAACATTTTTATTAAGGTATTCTAGGGTGATGGCAGGGTCCGTCACTACTAGGTAAAATGGTCTGAATTTGGTTGACATGAGGAAAATTTCCTTAACTTCGTAAGTTTCATGTAAATCCTCTACGATATCGTATTTTTCCACTCCCTTACCCATTCCACGGAGTACAAAAGCGTGGGTTTTGTCCGCTTTGCTGGTATAGGTGTGGTGTGGAATATCGGCCTCTTTGATGCTGTTCAATAGTTTTTGATAATCGTCATCGGTTTCAGTGAATATTACGGTCGTGGCATTCGTATATTTGATAGAATATTTACCTTTTATTATTTCTTTCAAGTCTTTAGCCAGATTGGAGTAATTATCCGTGTTGCCGTCTATCACAATGGGGGGGATGGAATCTCTAGATTTAGTTTGACTTTTTTCCGTCTTTTTGTCAGTATTCTGTTTTGTCACATTCTGTTTCTGGAGTGTAGATTTACCTTCGACTGGTAAGTTAGGGGTTTCGTTTTAATATCTTTCGGGGTGATTGCTAGTTTACATTCGGAGTCACTTTCGGTGTCACTTATGGCGTTGAACCTGTTTTTAGTGGGTTTCGTTGATGCCGCTTTTTGTTCTAATAATTTAATAAAGTTGGTCCTGAACTTTTTTGTCTTTTTTGAAAATTCTCGTTAGAGTTTTTGTTTGTGAGAGGTTCTGGTTGTGAATTTGTTTGTACCTCCTGGCTGACTGGAGATACGTTTTTCCGTTTGGGTAGTAGTGAGTCGTGTACAAAGCAGAATTGTTTTATTCTTTCATCTTCGCTGAAAGTTGGGGGGTCAATCCCGAAGTTGAGAATCCTTGCGGTGACTGTACTCGGTAGCGCGAGGGTGTTATAGGCCGACACGAATTTTTTGTCTGGCACTTTACTGACTTTTTTAGTGGCAGCACTATCTTTATTAGTAGCACCGGTGCTCACAGGTATGTTGTTAATTGCACTATCTAGATTTTTTAGCACTAAGTCGGCACTGAGGAGAGTTGGGTCCGTGGTGACGTCCGTTTTCGCACTTTCCACTAATGCGTCCGAACTTTCCGCACCTTTTTCTGCGTTACCGTACGCACTGTCAAAGGTTTTTATTACGCTTGCGTTCAACGGCGAAATCTCCGCACTTTCGTTTCTTGGCATAAGGTCGCTGTCTGGGGAGTATCCAGACATCATTGTTGTGTTGTTTTTGTCTTCTGTGGAGTTGTAGAATGCATTATTTTCTTCATTTTTTTCGGCGAATATTTCTGTGTTGTTTTTCTGGGTTTTATTCGCTCAGATGTTGAGGGTGGGTGCAAATCGGCCTTATTTGTCTCCTTTACCCCTCTATCTCTGCTGGAACTAAGATATTTTTTTGAGATTTTTCGGTGTATTTATGTGACCTTTCTAGTGAGTTCCTTCTATCACTATAGGTGGTTCTTTTTGTATCTTTGTGTTTAGGGGTACTCACGTGTTTGTATGGATGGTGAATACTCCTTTTTAATTTGAGGGTGACTGGACTTCTCGGACTTGTTGAAGATCCAGAGGACCTGCGGCTAATGTCTACTGTGAGCACTTTACGTTCCTTCTCGAGCTTTTCTCTGGCTCGTCTTGAAAAAACAGTTTCATTTGTAGCATCAGGTGGTTCGTTATCCTGTTTGTAGTCTGTGGGGGTGTTGGTTGCCCCTGCGGGCTCCGCCATGGGGGTGTACTGCTCTCAGAGAGCTGTTTTAACTAACGTAAATCGGCGGCATATAAAAATATTTTTTATTATTAATATTGGGAAAAAAGTTATTCCTTATAAAAAGTCGAGCATGGTCTAAAACCTAAAATAAAACCATCAGATATCAAATTTATCAATCGTATAAAGAATTAAGGTACTTTACTTTTGAGTAAAACTCATATTTTTTGACAAACCTTGTATACCACTGAAAAAATTTGTTATTTGATGAATGTATTCTAGGTTTCAGATAATGCAAAACTTTTTATGAAGAGTAACTTTTTTTCCTAAAATTAATAATAAAAAAGTTTTCCATATGATTCCAACTTATTTGGAGTGAGGGTAGCCATATGTGAGTAGTAGGGATTAAGTGTAAGGGGTTAAAGAAAAGGTCCTTTATTTCTCAAAAGTCAATTTAATTGGCGACCGGTTTCGAAGCTGTCACTTCATCAAGGTGTGCCTGATGATGAAGTGACAGCTTCGAAACCGGTCGCCAATTAAATTAACGTGAGAAATAAAGGACCTTTTCTTTAACCCCTTACACTTGATTCCAACTTAGGCGGACATACTGTATATGTTCTATAAGCCTTTATAACATTGTTCTGTAGATGGGTATAAACATGTTAAAACAGTGTAAAAAAATAAAAGTAAATAGATCTCATCGTACAGTGTCACTTAAATTTGAACTAAGCTGTACGCAAAATTTTAAGGAATTTTGAATAAAATCATCACTCAGTATTATATTCAGTCATACGAAAGCATATTTTTATAACGTATAAACACAGTTATTAAATAAACCAATTAAAGCCAATCAAGCAAAGTCATAATATAAGTAGTAATTTAAACGTAATCCTTTAATGTCTAAAATACGTCTCACTTATCGAATTAGTTGTGGAAAATCCTCGACTCACCTACTTTCTTATTGAAACTTAACCGCCGACTTGTGTCTCTTTGAAAGTCACATCAACAACATAACTGTCTTGAAACTATAAACTTGCGGTTTATCTTTCCCGCACCTTTGATACACTCGTTCGTTGTTTCTTTGTTAATGTATTACTTAGAAGTAAAGCCAAGGAAATCGTAGTCATTTCAATGAGATAAATAATAATATTAATAATAATATATCTTTATTGTATATGAATAATACATAAAAAACAAGTCAAGGTACATGAGTATAAAAATAAAATAAGCGACAGATATAATAGTAATAAAATAAAATACAAATCAAATAATAATAATAATAATATTAATAATAATAATTAATAATAATAATAATAATAATAATAATAATAATAATAATAATAATAATAATAATAATAATAATAATAATAATAATAATAATAATAATAATAATAATAATAATAATAATAATAATAATAATAATAATAATAATAATAATAATAATAATAATAATAATAATAATAATAATAATAATAATAATAATAATAATAATAATAATAATGAAAATTAAGATTAGCGACAGTTATAATAATAGTAAAAACTAGTACACAAATGCAAAATAATAATTAATATTAGTGACACTTATAATGATATAGATAATTAAATTAAACACAAATGTATATTATAATTAAAATTGGACTTAGTAAAATGATAAAAACTCTTTAAGGGTATATGGATTAACATGGTTTATGCACGGAAAAAAATGTGACTAGATAATTTTACTACAATGTTGTAGTAGTAGATTTGTAGAAAAATACCTAACAATTTGTAGAAAATTTTACTACAATTTATAGTTAAATACTATTAATTATTGTATCAATTGAATTGTCAAATAAAATGCTACAACAATAGGAAAGAAGTCCACAATGTTTAGTATATTTTACTATTGTTTGTAGAAGTAGAAATTTATTACAATTATCGTAATTACTACTACTAACTTCTGTAAAAATTTGTACAAATATTAATAATTATCTCTACAAAAAATAGTAATTTTCTCTACAAAAAATAGTAATACTTTACATTCCTTCTTTAAAAATATTCTATAATATTGTAGAAATTCTAAGTCATGTGAACAAAACAGAATTCTGCTATTGGCCAACGTTTTCTGACGTCGATCATAAACGGCCAGACAGCAGTAGCCGTTCGCCATGTTCACATAACAAAGCATGGTACATATACGAGTACCTATAACACATTATTATAGTATAAGCACCGATGCGTTTGAGAAAATTTTAATAATAAATTCTATTGGTGGTAAGTACATTTATTATTGTTTCTAAATAATTTACCTTTAGATAACTAATTTAAATAACCTTAGTAGATTATTTTAAAAAAATAGTTGTGACCAACGATCGAATGTTGTGCCCAACGATCGAATTTTGTGTCAAGTTCAATGATGTTTTTTGTCTTAATTGTAACATACCTACTTTCTCATTTTTGTTAGTTATCTGACTTAGTCATTTAATATCAGTGTAAATCAGTGTAAAGGTGATAAATATCCCCGTACCCTTAATTTTTATTTCATATTTTTCAGGTGCAGAAAAGCCAACTGCGACTGAGGGCGCTATTATTACTGTTATTTATTACATAATATAATTAAGAATTTGTATCTTTTATATTAAAACAATAAATTGAATATTTAATTAAGGAACATTTTTTTCTAGGTTATATTTAAAATAATTATGGAATACTACAAATTTTATTAAAAATTACTACAATTTGTATGAATTTTTACTATTTATTGTGTAAAATTTTCGTATTTATTTTCATAAAACGCAATACATTTTTAATATAAATTCATACAATGAATAGCAAAAATTATAACAATTTGTAGAACAATTCTTATGATGCATTTGGATCTTTTTACTAAATATTGTAGATAATAACTCTACAATACATTCTCCACAAATATTTGGAAATTTTTACTACAAATTGTCTCTGTCCCTATATGTACTATTTATTGTAGAGAAAAAATCTACAATTGTAGAAATTTGTTCTACAATTTTTCGAAAAATCGAAAAATCGAAAAATCTAAAAATCGAAAAATCAAAAAATCGAAAAATCGAAAAATCGTAAAATCGAAAAATCGAAAAATAAGGCACGTTTTTTTCTGTGGTTTTCCTAGTTGGCCTAATCCACATATTGGTTGCTAAGTGAGCATTATACTATTTTGTTTCGCATTGGTAACCCTGAGGAACCAGCTTCGTCTGTTTCTGCTAGTTGATAGCAATAACGTTTCAGACTCATGAGGAATCACTTGCGCAATAGATTCCTATGTACTTTCTGCATCAAGTGCATTAAGCAGTGGTTCTAAAATTGTATCACTGTCTTCGTCTTTATCACTATCTTCCAAAATTTAAGTCAATCAAATTTATTCTCACAGTTTGAGCCCTTTCCTTTTTTGTATTTACAAGAAATGAGTCGAAGAAAAACTTCTGGAGCAAGAGTGCAGTCAAAGGAACAAGACCATTTTTGTTCTTTTTCCAACCCCATTGATCTGCTGGTTTTTCGTAACCGTCTTTTCTCTTAAGACTGAACTAACGAAAAATCTCTAATCCCTTCTCTTTTACTACAATTGCTTCACTTTTAGTCAAAATATTGTCAAAAATAAAACGCTCTGTTTTCTCGGTTTCCATCATAATTTATAACACAAAACGCACAATGTTTACCATCGATACACCCGCACGGAATAAAATAAACAAAATAATCATGTTACTTCTATGATATGTTTGCTGATTCACAGTTCAAAAGTACGTAGTTGTGGGGAGGGCGAGGCCAACCTAACTTTAAGATTCTAGCGATAGGCTCAATGAATAAAATTCGTATTGCTTTGCACGCTGCAAACTTGTTCAACTTCGTAATTCTCGTACGCGAAAACCATTTTGTTTATGAAAAAAATGATAGGGGCCAAGTTTGCAGAGAGAATTATGTAGTTTAAATTACTATATAATCAGTTTTACTAAAAAAGCAACGAAGAACGAGATATCCTGAAAAAATTCTTTTTTTTGCAATTTATTGCAATATGGCAGCGACAGCGGCAAAGATACGAGGTAGCAAAATAAAAATTCGAAAAAAGCAGCTCAAAATACGTAGAATTACAAAATATCATAACTTCCGCAAATTTTTCCAGAGAAATTATGTATAAAACAAGAATTATAGAGAATTATGCCACAAAAAACTTTTATTTGAATAATTTTTATAAAAAAAAATGATTTTTTTTACATTTTGTTAAATTTCTCGAATACGGACCAGTATGCAACAAAAAGTAAAGAAAATAATATTAGAAGTAACTCTTATTTAAAACATTTTCTCCTCCAAACGTTAATAACAGATATATTCCGTAAAATATAAAGTACCTATCAGGTCACCTCCGATCGTAATAAGGCACGAACGAACGCACGCACGCACGCGATCACCCACACAAACAGACATCATCGCGAAAATAGTCAAAATGAATTCAGGGGACCTCAAAACGTAAAAATACGTCGAAAACTCGAGGTCGAAAAAAAATTAGGATTCCTATACTTTACTTATCTGTGTACAGATAGGAAAGTAAAAATACAATAAAACTGCGATATTAAAAGAAGAAATAATGGCTACAAACCAAATAAACAAAATATTTTTACTGCTCTGTTTTCCCTTTTGGTTAAACAATTATTCTTAGGTCAAACTTCAGACAATTATTTTAAAATGGTTAAAGTGTAAATTCGTGTACCATACTAGATATTTTGATGTGTCAAATTTTTTGAGGGGTTGATCATGGTAAGGAAGAGAGTGTAGAAAATACTACGTATTGAAATAAATATTTTTCGGAAATTAGTCCAAAAACTGCCCTCCTGTCTAACGACAATGGTTAACGCAAATTAATTATTATGAGAGATTGTTAGTTCATTAAAATTTAATATCTCTCTTTCACAGGAAACGTCCAATTATCGGATTTCTTTCTGTTAATTGTTCATCGGCAAATCCTATGTCTATACGAAATTTTCTCAAAGTCACGTTTAAACAATGAAATAGAGGAAGTTCTAGGATTCCGTTTAACTTAGATAATTAATTTAATTGAGAAATTTAATTTTAACAATATAACTTGTACAATGTAGTTTGGTCAATAGTTTCTAGATTGTTTGGTGGTTAACAAGTTTTTGAAATATATGTGCTGGCCTTCCTTTGTAATCCCCGTTATGTATGACATTTTCAATTATATCATGACAGTTATATATCTTGTTATTCTGGTTGAAATATTGCTTCAACTTCAACGAGACCTTGATAAATAGCCAACTTTTTTATTGTTTCTAAATTTTAAACGTAAATGTCCTCGAGTTAAAGCACTCACACTCTATTCAGATTACACTGCCCAACAGAATTACACTTTTTGACTGATGAATAAATTATGTCACATGATGTTTACTAATTTAAAATCGCTGACACTAAATATACCCCCACTTTTTTTCTGACAGCTCTTGTTTACGAGTTATAGCTTTCACTAAAAATTCGCTGTATTATAGTGTTTATTTGCAGTTTATTTAATAATAATTATTGAATTATTATACATATTTAATTTTATTTGGAAATATCATTAATTTATAATCCTCTTTAACAACCCCTCTGTTGTACGACCGCGGACACCCCCTGTAGGTTCTTAGAACATACTTATAAAGGTAAAAGTACCTCTTTTTAATGACCGGTAAAAACCAATTTCAGAATTCTTAAGAAATAATATATTGTTATTTTAAGGGAAGGTTTAATAAGACAATAGTGAAATTATCTTTCTTGTTTGAATTATTGTTTTATTTTGTAATTTGATATAGCATCGTCAAGAAGAGTATCCCTGTACTTTATATGGGGGCGGTTAGACGAGTTTTAGTTCAGTTAATAACCACCAGGTGTTTATAACCTACAAATTTCATTGTTGTTGTTTTATAGATTTCACGCCCAAATATATAGCCAGGTATAGTAGGTAAAAACTGCTCGAAGGGAGTGAATCCCTAATGTCGGAGCCCGTAAGGGCGGCCACAGACGCCACAGCCTCCAGTAATCCAAAGTCGGAAACATTATATTCAAGAAGACATAAGGAGAAACTTGATAAACTGGACAGAACTCCAACCGTAAAAATCCACAAAACAGAGAAGGACAGGAGTCCCAAGAGTCCTATAACCCTTAAAATTAAAAGGACAATACATCATCCATACAGGCACGTGAGTACGCCCAAACCTAAGACCTCATCTCACCCCGAGTCGAAAAATGCGAAGCCAGAAGGCTCACGTAAACATTCCTCAGAACGGAAAAAAGAATATAGATATGGAAATAAAGAAAGCCATTGAGGAGGTTTTGCAACATTCCCCAGGATACGGCCAACAAAAAACACCCCAAATCGAAAAAAATCCATCAACTTTTTCAAGTATGGAGAAAAATTCTTTTTTCATGCCACCCTCTGAGGTGATAAATACAGCATACGATGACAGCCCTATGGAATCAGAAGACAATCCCAGCAGTGCAGAAAACACTCTAGTGCGAGCAACGCTAGCGAAAGTGCGAGCAACGTAAAAACAGTGAACCTAAAACTAGTGAAAAACGCGACAGTGAGGTTAACCCTAAAAATAATAGTGAAACCGCCCTTAAAAATTTCGAGTCCGCGTATAAAACCCTACCGTTGCCTAGTTCGGTTACGGCAAGAGTTTTAAACTTCGAGACGAACTCTCAAACTCCGACCTCCAGTGAAGAGGAGAGTCAAACAAAGACAACAAAACCACCCCTACGGCAAAGCATATTTACGCTACCATCTCCTATAAAGAAGGCTTCACCGCCACAAACACTACTTCCTAAGAGGAAAAATACCTCACCTCCAGAAATTTTAGAGGCGGAAAACGACGGGGAAGACGAGTCAGACAAAGACAACACAGAATTTCAGATGCCACGAAAATATAAAAAATTCAAAACCAACTTTGTGAAACTCCTGGAACGTAAAGCAGCAGCATCAATACCACTAGCTAACAAGTATGACTCACTTAGTGAAAGTGAAGCAGAACCCGAACAAAACACTGCAACAACCTCCACAACTAAAGGTAAAGCCACCCCTAACTTACCAATCAAGAGCAGTACCACGGAAAGCGGCACGACAACTGACAAAACAGACCCGAAAACAAACAAAAAGTCCTCCATCCCCCCTATAGTGGTAGATGGCCGTACAGATAATCACGCAACCCTAACCAGTGATTTAAAAGCCATAATAAAAGGGAAGTACTCAGTAAAATACACAAATTCCACCACTGTTATTTTCACTGAGGAACAAGAAGACTACGAATTAGGTAGTATAAAACAGGCTGAAATACCCCACCACACATATACAAATAAAGCAGATAAAACTCACGCCTTTGTACTTAGGGGTTTAGGGAACGGGACTGAAAAGGAGGCTATAGAGGAAGACTTGATTGCCTCGTATGAAATCAAACCAAGAGATATTTTCAAAATGACCACTAAACATCGGCCACTATTTTTAGCGGTCACTGACCCAGTCATCACACTCGACTACCTTAACAAAAACGTAAGGGTAGTCGAGAACACTAGAGTAATTTGGGAATTACGACACTCAACCAGGAGCATAATACAATGCCACCGATGCCAGGCATGGGGACATGCCACCTCTAACTGTGGCAGACCGCCAAAATGTTTAAGGTGTACCGGCGATCACTTAACCCGAACATGTTTAAAGACAAGGGAAACACCCGCCACATGTGCGAATTGCCTGGGTTCACACCCTGCCAATTACACCCAGTGCAAATCGTACACAGAAAGTGCTGCTAGAATGGAGGAGAGGAAACTCACCCAATCCCAACCTAAAAAATTAAACCCCGCACCCCCACCAGCAGTAAATGCCTGGGATAAAACCAGGAAACATAGAAACAACCCTAACATGGAAGATTTCCCTGCCTTTCCTTCATCGAGCAGGCAAACAGAAAAACCATCACAAAACAATCAACCCCATACCCAACCCCGTACCCAATCCCAAATCCCAATCCAGTCTGAAGGTACAATGGACAATATTTTCGCATTAAATCAAGAACTAATAGAACTAAACAGCATGGTAAACGTAGTAGAACTCACTCGTGCTGTCAGAGAACTCAACGCCCAATTACGTAAGTATAACTACAACCCTGCACAAAACTTAATGACATTTAATAACTTCATGACAAATTTAGATAAATCAGGAACTAGATTCGACAATGTAAAGCGAGACAAACTGAGAATTTGTTTTTATAATGTGCGCGGGCTGCTAAACAAGATCGGTCTTGTAAGCAATTTCATTCACAAGCATAAATTCGACATAATTATTTTGACAGAGACGTTACTAAAAACAACTGACAAAGTAAAAATACGAGATTTCATAATAATAAGACAGGACAGACAACAACTACAACAAAGACAAGGAGCGGAAGGAGTAGCTATCTTAATTAAGAAATACATAATTTTTAAACAGCTCAGCACATGTTTCAACTAAACTAGAGCACCTTATCATCGAGGTCAACAATATTATAATTATAGGTGCTTATCACACCCCAAGCAAAAATTTAATAGGTAGAGATCTGCACATACTGATGTCGAAAGGAAACAGGGTTTTTCTTGCAGAGGACCTTAATGCTAAACATCCGGAATAAGACGCTAATTGTGTCATCCCCAACCCCAGTGGACTGCTACTGAAAGACTTCGCTGAAGCGAACGGTTACATAATATAATACACCGACGAACCGACCTTTTTCCCTTCCTGCGCGACTCACACCCCTAGTACATTGGATATTGCACTAGTCAAAAATATCCCAGACATTCGTAACATGCGACCAATATCCACCCTAAGCTCAAACCAGTGATTGTATATTAGGAGACAAACAAACATACCAAAGTACTTCCGACTTTTATTTTACCTTTTTATGGGAACTAAAAGCTCTGAGGTTAGAAATGAACACATAAGCCTACATAAACATAATGTTAAGCCTAAAAATGGCACATAATCTAAATGTTCGGCTGTACAAAAGAATAGATGTTAAATAAACAGTATTCAAAATTAATCTCGGTGTTTCCTTTGTTCTTCCTCCATTACAGTTACATTAAACTCTAAAAGTAATTCTGGGGGTTTTAACATCACTTCGTAGGGATCCACTAGACGAAATTTAGGCCAAGGTTATAAGTATTAGTAGTATAGCAAGCGGGAACCTGGGACCGATGGTAACATGTCCATCCAGTTCTACAAGATACCATCCACTTCTAGTCAAAGAAGTGACGATGCAGCCGAAGAATCGCCAAAGAATGATCATTGACCAGAAGAGGTAGTAGTAGAGGAGTGTTCTTCAAGATACCATCCACTTCTAGTCAAAGAAGTGACGATGCAGCCGAAGAATCGCCAAAGAATGATCATTGACCAGAAGGGGTAGTAGTAGAGGAGTGTTCTTCAAGATACCATCCACTTCTAGTCAAAGAAGTGACGATGCAGCCGAAGAATCGCCAAAGAATGATCATTGACCAGAAGAGGTAGTAGTAGAGGAGTGTTCTTCAAGATACCATCCACTTCTAGCCGAAGAAGTGATGACGCGGCCGAAGAATCGTCAATGACCAGAAGGGGTAGTAGTAGAGTGTGATAGAAGAAAAATAAGAGACGTATAAAATGTTTTGTGGTATTAGGCGAACAGAAAATTTAGAAAGTAAATGATTGCACCAAATGTTTAACTTTAAAAATTTTTGTTAGATGGTGGTGGTAGATACTGATGAGACTAGCCTAGCCGAGCCTCTACTCAACAGTAGAGCCTGGCCTGATGAAATGACACACAAAAGTATTTGTTTAAAAGAAAAAATGTATTTAAAAACTTTGCAATTATTTTTCTTATACTCTTAATGTACGACAATAATATTTAAATTAAGGTACCACATGTTTAATTTATGTCGCTTTCAGTTTGCAGTAGAAAACAATAGAGAATAAAAATAAAAAAAAAAATTCATATCTACTGTTTGTACAATTGACTATCTATTAACGTATTCTTGCATTCATTCACTTTTAGTTTGTAATAGTAAACAATAGAAAATAATGTATGGTAAAATTCATATTTGTGCCCATTGTTTAAGAAATTACAATTGAAATTAATTTTTACGACCTAACAAAATGAAACACACAATTTGATACTTATTTTTTTATTTATTCACAAATTAAAAAAACTGTAAAAACTAGTTTTAATTATTAATATATATGTAACAAATTTTGGACAATGAGATATACGTATTAAGGGAGGGTATTCTATGATTTTCAATATCGTGATAACAATCTGTTGTGTTTCCCCACCAATAATCTCGGTAAGATATAGAGTGATTCTGAAATTGTTCGAGTGAATGATATTCACAAAACATTTGTCCCTTGAATGGCACTATAGGATAGAAGTATGTATTTGAACCTACAATGTGTCCACAATTATACTTTTTTCCTTTATCTTCACATGTTATGATAGAATCTAAAAGATAATTCTAGATAATAATTATAATAATAATAAAGAAAATGTATTTTTTTTTACCTGAAGGTATTAACTTAATGGAGATGGGACGCAGATTAACGCTGAAGAGAAAATCATGCTCGGTATCATTATCAAAAAAGGCATTAACATTAATCTCTGCTATTATTGGTCCGCTTTAAACAAGTCAAACGGCACAATTATGAAGGAAATGTGACGTAGGTTAACGTTAAAGATAAAAATCATAGGTAGTAGCATTGTCAAAAAAGCATTAACATATACCTCTGTTATCAATGGTCCGAATAAAACGGTACTATGAAGACGTGACGTAGATTATTGTTAAAGAGTAGAATTATGCGCATTACCAAAAAGATATTAACAAATTTCTTTGCTATTATTGAACCAGACAAACAGCATTCGCAACTTGAACTGTCGTTTATCATGGGTATATTTGCCATCTATTCGCGCTTCAAGCTAAGTGATACGCCCTCTGGAGGAAATTAGTAGAAGGTCCCTATAAGTAGGTTGACGTTCAGTGTTGCAAGAAGCAGCAAAATTTCGTTACGTCGTCGGATTTTAGTTCTTGAAGAAATGGATGACCTTTTATTTAAGAATCAAAATTTGTGTCTAGTAATATGTAATCATACTCTATATTTATTTAAGGATTTTTTTATAAAATCGATTTATTATATTGATTTTTTTTTTTTTTAATTGCAGTTCATTTATTAATTTTAGTTTTAAAATCAGTCGGAGATCGGAGACAAAATCAGTTCATCATTTGGCAACATTGGCGTTCGTATTCATTGTTTACATTTTAATTTGTATCAATTACAATTAGAGTTTTTTCTTACTTTTTAGCTTTAAATTTGTTTATTTTTTATAGTATGTGATAGTATTTAAATTAAAAATGAAATCTGTGAAAAAGCCTCCAGCAAATTGCAATCTATATGGTGTTATTGTCAAAATCAAAATTGAAGTATTCATTATTTTTCAAGTGCAAGTCATAAAATTTTGTTTCTTACGATAAATGGGTATCTACAAATTCACAATATTAAAATTTTGCAAAACGTTGTTTAGAATCAAACACCAATCTGATTTGCGACGGTTTTATTACCATTTACATGTATACAAAGTACTACATAATTCACTTCATGATATAAGAATAAGGATAGTAAGATTTTTAAAGAAGTTCATCAATAATAAACGTTTGGTACCTGATATGTCCTTTAAACCACATAATAAAACATGTCCTGGGTTTAGTAAATACATATTTCTAGATGTTCTTGTAGCAACCAATAGGTCAATATTTCCAACACATTAGTTCATACTACACGTGAAAAATATTACATTTATAACGAAAGCACGAAAACTAAACTTAAATTAATACTAAATGAAACTCAAAAACACTATTATAATAAGAATATTATCTAAAAACAGTTAAAAAATCACAAATACAAAATCCCACAACACGTAAATAAACAAACATCCTACTTATAAGTGACAAATGACAGGCGCGCGAAAATTAATTTGAATCGCGAATACAAGTGCCTCTGAAGAGTATTGCCGAGCCTAGCCCGTATTGAAGAAAACGGAAATGTAGGTACCTAAAGAGACATTTATAATAAATCATGCACAGTAGTATTGACAAAGAGGCTTTTAAGTTTATCCCCAATAGTTCGTTCGATTCAAATGGAACATACTGCATCCATTGGTATTCATTTAAAATAAAAATCATATGATCGCCAAGAAAGTACTATCTTTTACCATTGCGTCTAAAGAGTATTAACGAGCCCCTCTCGTACTGTAGAAATAAAATATGTCCACAAAGAACAATGTAACACGTCTTTAATGAATATAAATTAATTGGTGATGAATAGGAGAATTGAAAAAGTAAACGTTTGTTCGAATATTAAAAAAGGTCATAGTTCAAATAACAGATATCACATTCATTTTAAAATGTATGTGTATACAGGGTTTTCCAATAAGAGGTGTTATTTTGATATTCAAAGTAAAATGCCATTTTTTGAGATAAATGATCGGATGTTTATTTCATTATAAAGAGGAAGGTATGCCGTTAATAATGGAAAATAACATCAGCCAAATGACCACCATGACCACGCCTGCAGGACCATATCCTTTTCATGAAATTTTCCATAACCAAATCGCAAAGTGGCTGCCCTATGTCCTCGATAGCCTCACGAATTCCATCTTTGAGGTCTTGAATCGACGCTGGGCTGTTGGCGTAGACCTTCTCTTTCACGTGGCCCCAAAGGAAGAAGTCGCAAGGTGTCAAATCACAAGATCTCGGTGGCCAATTGTGATCACCTCTCCGAGAGATAACACCGTCCGGAAACTTTTCCCGTAAAAGATCAATGGTTTCGTTGCTTGTGTGGCACGTAGCACCGTCTTGTTGAAAGTTAACGTTGTCCAGATCAATACCATCCAATTCCGGCCATAAAAATCATTAATCATCTCTCGATAGCGCAATCCATTCACCGTAACTGGTGCTCCAGCCTCATTTTCGAAAAAGTAAGGTCCAATGTCCCCACCGGACCATAAACCGCACCAAACAGTCACACGTTGAGGATAGAGAGGCTTTTCAACAATAACTCTTGGGTTTTCCGAGCCCCAGATGCGACAATTTTGCTTGTTGACGAAGCCACCGAGGTGAAAATGGGCCTCATCATTCAAGATGATTTTTCGATGGAATTCCGGATCATTTTCATGCATTTCAAGGACCCAATCGGCAAAGACACGACGTTGTTGGTGATCGGCCGGCTTGAGTTCTTGTTTTAACTGAACTTTATAGGCCTTAAGACCCAAATCTTTATGCAAAATACTGTGTAATGACGTTTTTGGAATGCGTAATTCCAAAGAACGACGAGGAATGGACAAACCTGGGTTTTCTTCAACACTTTCGGCTACAGCAGCAATATTCTCGTCTGTTCTTGAGCGACGTGCACGGGTTTTATTCTTCACATCACTAACTTGTCCCAACAGCTCGAATTTTTCCACCAATTTCTGTATTGCGGTCCGATAAGGTGCTTCACGACGAGTTTTACAAACCGTCTCCGCCAAATTTTCACCATTTTTATAGTGAATTTTAATAATTTCAATGCGTTGTTGAAGCGTGTAGGTATCGTTCCATTTTTATTAATGGCGTAGTTTCTACTTGTCAAATGTCAAAACATGACAGCTCCAAAAGTGACATCTACCGAAATAGCGGGCTATTCAAAATAACACCTCTTATTGGAAAACCCTTTAGTTAATTTAGATTTGGTTTCTAGAGAAGTTTATTTAAAAATAAAAAAAGTGTGTTGCACTATTTTAAGTTATTATAAAAGTAAATTTAGTTTAAAGTGATTTATCATATTTAACTAAAGCAGGTAAGTCATATAATTATTAAATTAAAAATGGGTCATATAGTTATTTACTTTATTTATTAATGGTGTACACTAAATCACACTGTAGCATATGTAATTGGTAACCATAAAAATTATTATCCTACTTCTCCGATTAAAAACTCTATGTACTGTGGAAAATATGGTTGGGAAAAATTGATTGATAATAAATCTACAGTTATTCATGGTTTCACTTTTAGTCTAAAAAAATCAGCGATAATTTTGTGGAACTTGGAATCTAAGAAGAACAATGCTTTGTTTATATTTAATTTTATTTTTAATATAAAACTGTAAAATCCTTTATAAATTAGTCTTATATGAGTGACGGTATTTATACCTGTATTGAATATCATTCAATACACATCATTAACTACAACAAATGCTGTCTAAAAATTATTTGAATTAAATCCTAAGCTAAAAGAAAAAACTGTAATTAACCCTTGGTTTTTCCTAAATTACAACAAGGAATTTCTAGTGTGAGCAAGTATGCAAAACGAAAAAAAAAAAGATTCATAAATTATTTACTTAAAATCATTGATTGTTAAAATATTATTAATAAATAAATATTGTAATTGTTTTTTTTTTTTTTTTTTGAAAAATGTATTTAAATATTTTTTTTTTGTGTATTATCTTAATACATGTGAATTAATGTCTTAATTAATAAAGAATCATATATTTATACTTTCACACGCAGAATACATCAAATCACGAAAAAAATATAGATTTGAATACTACCTTCTGTGGTTAAAATATTTGAAGACATTTACTTCAAAAATTCAAAATATTGGTAGTTTAAGTTATTCAAAATCTACAGCAAAATTATGAAATCTCTAAAAGTACAATAATTAAAATATCTAAATATACCCGATATTATATTAAGATTGGAGGGCGAACGGCCATACGTCAACATCGTAATTGATGGCGTGTAATGCATTCATCACCAACGCGTCCAGCTCCCTTACAAGTATACTTATTGGTGATTTTAAGTCGATGAC